TGCGGTAGCAGCCCAAAGGGGACAAATCAGTCCGTTGATCAATGCTGGCCACCCACATGTAACACGGGGATGACCAACTTGACTTGTCAGATGTTCCTGGTGATTGGAGCTGTATGCTGGCCATGTCAGTGGCGATCTCATTCTGCAACGGTTACCTCTTTGCTTTCTACCTGCAACAACAACCAGCCACTAAGCAGTAACACAGAATGGTAAGCACTTGTGTCGTTTGTTCCTTTTTGGTTTCATGAAATGTTTGTTTCTTGGTTGTTTGACACATGTTGTAAGGTGTAGATCTTTCCAGTGACACGCTGACTGCAAATAGGAAGATGTGGAGTCTCTTATAATACTGACCCCAGAATTTAATCCAGGTTGGGAATACTTAGTGCATGAATCTGTTGACATAGCAAGGACTGCTAACATATCTACTCACAGTAACTTCAGACCTACCCGTTGTCAGTTTTACAACAGATCAACATCATGGCACAACAGTAGTAAACCCGTAAGTGCTCTGTTTTAACTCCACCCAGTCTGTATCAACGGCTCAAATAAAAATGAACTCCAAATTTTGCCTGGTCACGCTGATTTCCCACCGCAAAGTACACACGGGCGTCCGATCTGACTACCCAGAGACCAGGGGAAATAGCCATTGCAGTAAGTGACTTTAAAAACAGGATTGACACAAGAGCAGGATTGACACAAGAGAAGTTATGACAGCAGCAAAAACAGAAAAAGACTTCAAGTACCAGGGACTGATTTTTTTAGAATGCCAGGTCAGATGGAAACACACAGCAAGGTGAATATAGACCAGACCACAGCAGTGTCCGCACTTCTACTAGAGTTGTGGAAAGTGCTTTGAGGATCTGGGAGCTGAGACTGGAGCCCTGATGTAGCTGTACGATAAAAGTGATCCTTTATATACCCAGCAAAGACAAGTAGGAGACGTTGTACACCCACAATACATACATGCAAACACCATATGCATTAACATGCCCATATATTACACATCCCACATGTATCCACAAACATACAAACCCATATATCCATCCACTCATCATTTTCTGTCATGAAGTATTTGTACATTTTCAGGTTACTATCTTCATGCAGGGAAGTTCCTCACCGTCTAGAGAGACAACACTGAGAAGTACGAGTCCTGTACGATTCGATAGTGACCAGTATGGATCATCACAATATTTCCGAAGACAGTCCTTCTCGTTACGAGATAGATGACCCATATGGGAGAAATTTAAGCCCTGTGAGGTACGATCAAAGTGCTCGCAGTCCAGCCAGATCTAGACAGTGATCCAGACATTCTAGGCATCATATCCTGTGTCATTATCCAGATGGGAGATCCCCCACGTGAGATCTCTCCAGTCCACGAAGCACCATGACCTTCTTCCCTGATACAGAGCCAGGTTTCCGTGGTGATCTTATGGATAAGCCAGCAGAGAGACTGAGGCTGAAAGTTTCACATGCAGGTCTGGTGGACACAAGAATAGTGAATGCAGGTTTATGTAAACTGGAGAATAGATCTGTCATTTGGGGGGGGGGGGGGGGGGGGGGGGGGGGGGGGGGGGGGGGGGGGGGGGGGGGGGGGGGGGGGGGGGGGGGATATCTGAGATGGTCAGCTGACGCACAACAGTTGCAAGTGTGAACATTTTTTTTTCTCTCTCTCTCTTCTCCTTGGCATTCATGAAACACCAGGCTACAGTTCTAGTAGGTTGTCCTCTTCTGGGCTCCATAAATTGATTGTTGTTGTATCATGGGTTGTAGCTGAATATGTCTGTGCCACCAGGGGGACATAGACAAGAGGTCTGGGTAGTCTGATGCATGGAGGTCAACTACTGGAAGATGGCTTACTAAAATGGATGTCTCCACAATTTTCATACTTGGAGAGAAGGGGGACCTAACACAGTGGCAGACTGGCTTACCGATTTGTCAGTTTCTTGCTGGCGGAAGTTCAGGTATCTAAACCAGGACAGATTTCTCATTTATTCAATAAACACGAACATAGCTGAAGACATTGCAGATCAGAGCGCTGAAGACCACAACACACTGTATTCTTTATGCAAATGGGTCTTATATACCCATGCACTGCTTATTATCCCGTACAGGGTTAATTACAACAATAATCACACGTAATGGATGCAATCCGTGTAAATATTTTCAACATAATCCTTACATGTGCAACACAACCCACTCACCAGCTGGACACAGTGTCAGCACATTCAGAGCATTACTGTACCAGAACAGGTTTCATTCATTTAGAAATTACACATAAAAAGTTTCGAAGAAATAATAGGACTGGTGAGGTGTTGCAGGAGATCCTCCACCACCACCATTCCCCCCCCCCCCCCACCTCTTTTCTTTAGTCTGTCTACTCCCACCCAGGCCCGAACCACTGCAATCACAAGTCGTGTGCCGAGGCCTAAACAATCACCAGTCCTGTGCCCGGCCCTAACAACTGCAGCACAAAAGCCCCAACAACAACACTCACAAGTCATGCCTGACAGTGCACAAATATTTGCACAGCTTCATCCCAACATGATACACCCCTTTGTCCATTCTTGTGTAACATTTCGTTGCTAGGCAAAGCCAGTTAAAATTATTCCATTCAAAAGATTTGTCATCTTTGCTGTGCAGATGTCATCAACCAGATTGCCGCCATCGTCATCATCACAGCTGTCAGTAGTTCACTTGAATGTACTCCGCTGCCAGTGTTTCTTCGCCTTGTTTGTTTCACTGAAATTACAATGTCATAACAAGTTAATTATTAATCATCACTAATGCAAGTGGGCTTTCAATGTATAGGCAAATGAATGTAAGTCCTGGAAAGTAAAGGCTTCATTGACAGCCGACTGGTCTATACACAAATGCGTAATTAAAAACACACTATGGAACTTCCTTTAAAACCAAGCTAATTTTCAATTATAATTATAATGGAGAATCACTAAACAGTTGAGATATCGATGGCCCACGAGGCTGGTTTTCTCCACACAATCAAACTGTTTACAGGAAATCTGGGCCTTTGCTTCTGTTTAGCCCATAACCAGGATGGTAGTGCAAGTTAGCATTTCCATGCTGTCCTTAACAGCTTGGTCTATGAAGACTGGGAACAGCAATTCATCTAAGCACAACCTAATCAAAAGTAATGCTACATTCGAGAGTCCAGACCAAATCTGAAACCTACAGCAGCACGCAGTTCCTCTAGTGGCAAACATGCATGCCACCACAGATATAACTAATTGGTGGACAACTAATACAGAGACAATTTGGTAAACTAATCCATAATTATACATTAGCTTTTCCTGCAGTTTGTTATGTCAAACATCCACTGCTACCCATTGATAGTCTCTGAAGAAGAAATTCACGACAATCCCATAGCTACTACTTGTCCTCCGTCAGCAGCCGGAAAGTTCCCATACAAGTTTGCTTTTTCTTTATCTATGCAGACTCTCTGATCCCTCACAGTCTTCTGTTGCATGACAGTTCTGGCTTTGATGCCTCTACCTTATGCATCGACTGCGTGCATATATTTCTGCATTTTGTCATAAGACATTGTTCGCCACTTTCTCAAATTGACTGAGGGGCATGGCATTTCAATTACATTTTTACAGACACAGCAATGGAGCAAGCATGGGGTGATCCAGTTGCAGTGAAGTTGAAACCTCGACTAAGACTGCATATCAATCCGTGTGATCGTAAAGTTAGCTTACTGCCCAGAGTGCTAGTGTTCCTAATAAAAATATGACACTTACCACAGCTATCTTCATCCTCCCGACCTTCACAGTCAACAACACCATCGCAGATCTGGTCAAAGGTCAAACATGTTCTCCCGCATAAAATGCCACTACACATCGGAGGCTTGTTCTGTGGGGTTGTGTTTTCTACAGAGAGTGACACATTTTTCTTATTTGGTAATTCACAGCAAAAGGCAATTGATTAGCAACATTAGCCTCTGAGTGTAACAGAGCTCACAGGTTCTCATGTGAGATTGACACAAAGTGCAGGTCTGAAGCTGACACAATGTGAGGCTGAGATGGTGTGGAATTACAATTTCAGGATGTCACATACATGCAAGGGCATGTGACTAAAGGAAAAGACAATACGACAGTCATTTTAAGACATGGTGAGGGTGTGGGGTCAGAATTCTTTGGTCACCAGTTGTAACCTCCGGCAGAAAGACCTGGTTGTTCGTCCATTTGCACTTTGGCTTTGTGCCAAGGCCTGAGTTCTGCACGCACTTCTGCTTCACTGACTTTTGTTTGCCTTTGGTTATTGCTGCTCAGGCAGATGAAGTCTGACTCTGAAGGAACATAATTCTACATGCTTACTGGGGAAGCGGTGGGTCTGGTTTTCCATACACTAGGCCCCAGAACCCATACAGGAAGACAGGGTGTGGATCAAACACACATTGTTTGATGTTAACCTCAGGTGGTGTGAGGTCAAGATAATAATGTGATGTCATCACAAGGCAAAGACAACCTGGCCCCCAACACCCATAAGGGAACTTGAACAATATGACCATTTTATGTTTCACATCATCATATCGTACTGTTTATGCACAACTACACTAGATAGGACCTTACTTATAGGACCTTCTTTCTTTTAAATGCTGTAAGGTCAAGCCCATATTCTTCAATCAGACTCAATCGAGTGCCCGTATGTTATGGAGCATGAGTCGCACAGGATGCCAACACTCCTGGATACCTCATCCTGTGAAAGAAGAATAACCCTGAATAACTTATACCCAGCCTTGAGTGGGTACCTGGTGCAGTCCTGCGAAATAAAGGTGGCCGTCATCATGCTGACCACATCACCCACCAAGTGCCGATTGGTCTAAATAAATATCGGTCTAGCCCTATATACCCATTACGCGTAGAAACGTGCCATTTTTGAAGTAATGAATTCATGCTTGTCCTTTATGGTTATTTCAGCATCTCCTCAGAAACTGGTACTGCAAATATTCATAGATATTGTAGAGGATGGTATAAAGCACTTACCCATATAAGGCATACTCCACTTGAAGCTATGTTTCCACAAACCTGCCAGTAACAAACATGAGTTACACATCACAAGTACACCGGTGACTTGACTTGTCTTGTCATACATACATAGGTCTTATCTTGTGATAGATTGTTGTTGTGTCTCAACTGCATCATCATCAATCAGTACTTTACACAACATCACATCTAGCCTATTTTCTAGCCTTATGTGCTTTCACAGCCGTTGCATCTTTGGTGTCCTCCTTTGCGGAGATCTGCCTGTGCCTCATGGAAACTACACACCATCACTGCTCTCTCTCTCTACTGTGCCTCATGGAAACTACACACCATCACTGCTCTCTCTCTCTCTCTACTGTGCCTCATGGAAACTACACACCATCACTGCTCTCTCTCTCTCTAATGTGCCTCAGGGAAACTACACACCATCACTACTCTCTCTCTCTCTAATGTGCCTCAGGGAAACTACACACCATCACTACTCTCTCTCTCTCTACTGTGCCTCAGGGAAACTACACACCATCACTGCTCTCTCTCTAATGTGCCTCAGGGAAACTACACACCATCACTACTCTCTCTCTCTCTCTACTGTGCCTCAGGGAAACTACACACCATCACTGCTCTCTCTCTCTCTCTCTACTGTGCCTCAAGGAAACTACACACCATCACTACTCTCTCTCTCTCTCTCTCTACTGTGCCTCAGGGAAACTACACACCATCACTGCTCTCTCTCTCTACTGTGCCTCAAGGAAACTACACACCATCACTGCTCTCTCTCTCTACTGTGCCTCAAGGAAACTACACACCATCACCGCTCTCTCTCTACTGTGCCTCATGGAAACTACACACCATCACTGCTCTCTCTCTACTGTGCCTCAAGGAAACTACACACCATCACTGCTCTCTCTCTCTCTACTGTGCCTCATGGAAACTACACACCATCACTGCTCTCTCTCTCTCTACTGTGCCTCATGGAAACTACACACCATCACTGCTCTCTCTCTACTGTGCCTCAAGGAAACTACACACCATCACTGCTCTCTCTCTCTACTGTGCCTCATGGAAACTACACACCATCACTGCTCTCTCATGATGTTTCACGTGGCCAATATATATCAGCTTTTGCCACAGGATGCTGTTTATGAGCCAGTTCTCCTCCATGCTCATATCATTCCGGATGTTGGTGGTGTTCTTCATCCATGGTGTTCTCACCATTTTTCTGTATCATTTCAGTTCAAAACCTAAATTTTTTTATCAATCATCATCATCAAGTGGAAAGTCCAATGCACTGCTCCTCATGGCATGCTATAGAGCAGTGGTTCTCAACCTTTCTAATGTGGCAACCCTTTAATACAGTTAATCATGTTGTGGCAACCCCCATTCATAGTTATTGTCATTGCTACTTCATTAATTCAGTGAACATGTCTTCTCCAATGGTCTTTGGTGACCCCTGTGAAAGGTTTGTTCCACCCACAAAAGGGTCGTGACCCCCAGGTTGAGAACTGCTGCTATAGAGCCCTATGTGCCCCTGCTTCACTTTCCCCGCCTCAAACTTTGATGCCCACATTGTCTGGCATATCTACATTACTGTACTCTCCCGAGCACTATAGCACTTCATCCTCCTTGTATACTGATAAGGAACACTGCTGTTTCCTTTCAGTGCATTAATATGCTAACATTAGTCTGTGTATGACCCTGATGTTTGTTTGTCTTACTGTTTGTCAGTTTTTTACACGTCTTGGTGCTTACAAATCTGCAGCAGCCTCAATTTCTTTTTTATCCCACACAGACAATTTTCTTTTATTATATTTTTAACAAATTGCCCACAACTTTGCACATTTTATTGTGGGTAACTTATCTCAGGCTTCTATTTTATTTTCACTGGCTGAACACTGTGAATAAACTAATCAGCCTGGTATCTGTCATCTTCCACCTTTTATGAACTTTATATTTTATACAGTTTTCTGCTATTACCTGGTGTAATTTTATATGGTAGGAACCTCGGGGCTTTCTCTAACGCTTGGGCCTCATCCAGTCTAAATCCAGCCCTGCCTATATGTCTTTGTATGCATCAGTTTGTTTCCTCTCTTTCAGTCTTGTCCTTTCAGTTTCTGAGTGTCTTTTATATTTTTAATTACGTCTTTCATAATTTATAAATCACAATTAATTTGTACACTTGTACTAAACAAAAAACATATAAAGAAAAGTCTCCTTCCTGCACACATTCTCAGCAAAACAGTTACATCATGATACTTTCCCTCCATCTCTCACCTGATACAGAGCAGTCAACAGACGGATGTTCGTCCGAGTTATCCCCACAGTGATCGACTCCGTCACACATCAGTTCCTGGTCGATACACAACAAGTTGCGACACAGGAAATCAAAGTAACCAGGACAGCCTTCACCGTCTGCCGTGGGAACAGAACAAGTTCAAATAATTCTCTAGGGCAAAATGAGTGAAAGTAACACTTACAAAATATTCGTCTATTCCTAAAATAAATGTTAGCTGCTTTTTAAAAAAAACTGTTACTTAACATGTTAGGAGACATCGTGTCTATTCTCTAAAGGTACCCCCTCCCCCGCCCCGCCCCTAAACAGAGCCCCTGAATACAGGCAAACTATGAACAATGGATAATATATCTACAGGAACATGCATTTGGAAACAAATATATCATACTTGGAACTTCCTGTGTTAGGTTCTGAGGTCAGGGGACAGAAGAATAGATAGACCAATGCTCACTCACGCCATACAAGGCTACTGAAGGTTTGCTGCCTTTCTATGTGTTTGTCCAAAAGATGCAGATATCGCAGTCTAACTGTAAACCACAACACGAGGTACAAACCATTATTTAAAGGGTAAACACAAATACATGGCTTTCACCAGGACCCACTGCACTTAACACGAAAGTCATAAAAGGTGACTAACGTTCTGCTAAATTCTGGTGTGTTTGGCCAAGAGGTATTGCAGTCTAGCTCAAACCACAACGCAACATGCCAAATAGCCACTTTTTAGGTGACATGTAAATAACAATTGGCCAATAACCTCATTGTGAACTGCTAGGTACCAAATACAAATCCCTGTGTTTGTGTTGGCAGGAAACACATACTGACCCCCCTCTTTGGCCCTTAACAAGCATGTCATATAGGGCAACTATTTAAGAGTGTTTCCCTTGAATTCAGAATTCATCTGACAGACCTGAGCAACCAAAAGTATGCATACATATAAACCAGATCTGTACAATGGATATGCATGCAAACTTCACATTCTGCTTCCAGATTCTCACAGGAGAGGGATCCCATGTTTGGCCGGTTGATAACCAAGCTGTATGCATCAGTAGAAGACATACATCATGACCCAATTTCCTATCATCACCCAACTTCATAGAGGCTTCACCAAACTTTACGGGTCACTGATTGAATTAAACACTGCAAATATAGATAATCTATTTCAAGCGCATGAAAGAAGAACACAGGCTTCGGACCTCAGAAAACCACCCAGAGAGAGAACAAAAGAAGAAGAAACTAGGGAAAAACCCACAAGTGGATACACAACCAAAACTTTTTACCCCAGCTGCTAAACACAACGGAAAAAATCAATGATATGATGAATTCACAAACCTCCAGTCACATTTTTCACAGCAGTATACGTGAACGAGAGTTTATCTGTGCTGTAGTATCCGCCCCTCAGTCGAAGGTACAGCCCCTCCTGTGATGTGTAGGCCAGGCTAATGTCCGTGAGGTTGCGAGCTGTGTACCGAGCCAGTAGTGGGGCCTCAGAACTGACTCCTTTCCGGATTTCCAGGCTGTTCTTTCGGCCAAACTGCAGCCAACCTGTGGACAAATATGCAGCTGAGGATACAAATGTATGGAAGCTACAGTAATGCAGTGGTTAGATCCACTCACCTTCTGGATGGATGGTCTCAGGTTCAAGTCCACAGCAAAACATTTATAAAACTGATCTACAATTCCAGGGCAAGCTTCAATGTGTGTACCACAAAGTGTCATGGCAGGTAAAGGGGGTCGCTATTATGGGTCCCGTTAGGGGCCTATTTAGTCATTTCTGTGTTTATCATACAACAGTTCGCACATTTATATCCTTGGCTGTGCATGGTATTCACTTACATTTCAGTACTTCACTACCGTTTAATCAGTTACAATCACATGTGTGTGCAGCTGGTTCTCAAGCTAGCGAAGATTTCAGTGACCGCCTCCACCTCCATTCTCAAACTAGATGTTGTATCAAATGCCAGGCTTTGCTGCATCAGGAGATGTTCATTTGGCTTTGCTATGAATCCCCATACACTTACTGCCTTTTAACATAGAGCCACCTGTATAGACTGGCTGTTGTAGCACCATTGCCAACCATTGTAGCGGAGCTTGATCATTTTCTATAAGAAATTATGTGCAAGTGGCAGACATATGGTTTTATAGAGCAATGACGAGATTAGACAACACATAAGAGAAATGAAGATGTCATGAAAGAAACTTGTGCAGACATGTGGTTTTATAGAGCAATGACGAGATTAGACAACATATAAGAGAAATAAAGATGTCATGAAAGAAACTTGTGCAGACATGTGGTTTTATACAGGAATAATTAGATTACACAACACATAAGAGTAACGAAGATGTCATGAAAGAAAATTGTGCAGACAACTGACTGCACACATCAGCACATAATCAACATTCTTTGGTCATGTCAGGAGAAGGAGCAAAAGAGTTTATTGTGACGGTGGGAAAGTTGGCAGGGAAAACAGGCAGAGGAAGACCACGGGAGAAGATGCGAGATAGTTCACAAGGCACAGAACATCTGTTTCGGCACAGTGCATGATACAGAGGGCTGTGGATAGACATGACTACTAACACCACATAACATTAACAGGAAGAGTGGCTCTGACTAAAGATATTGAAAGCTACTTGCTTCAGCCACTTTTTCTGGAGGTTGGCTGCAGTGGTTATTTACCTTCACTACAGCTTTTGTAACGTGCCTGCTACTCTACCAGAAGCCACAAGAACAGCTTTTGTAACGTAGCTACCACACTACCAGAAGCCACAAGAACAGCTTTTGTAACGTAGCTACCACACTACCAGAAGCCACAACAACAGCTTTTCTAACATGCCTGTAACACTACCACAAGCCCCAAGAACAGCTTTTCTTACGTAACTTTAACATACCACAGCCATACACAACCTTACTGAGATCCGGTGCAATATTACTTATTACTTCGACATAACAACCAACAGAGTATGCCATCCAGTCCTGCATGTCATTCCTTTCTTACCTAATTTCATCTTACGGTTACTTTCGGATGTCCTCGTTGCCTTAATCTTTTTGTTTCCCACTTACACGAACGGTTGGTGGTTCTTGCACGTCATAATCCCACAAAAATATGAACCATCAACTTACCATCCCCAAGCAGGACCTCCCGAAGCCTCAGCACAACAGCGTCCGCCGTGTTGTGTGTGTTGTACCGCTTGATCAGCCACACACAGTCGTAGAACCTGGGCTCTGTGGACATAAGCTTCTTTTACAACATGCCATTTGAACATCTTGGTTTCTTGACGCATTATTTACTTATCAGCAAAAATGAACTGACCAGGCACAGATCTGGCCCACTCATTTGCTTCCACAAGTAGTAGTTTTCACAACATATAATCAAAACTCAAGGTTATATAATTCACATATAAAGTGTTCAAGTTTTCAGAGTATATGTTATTTTATATATCGTGTACGTTTTTATTTAGGACAATTATGTAATTTGTATTATGTTTCAAATATGTAAGTCTACACCTTCTGTGATTCAAAAGGAAATTGTACAGTGAATATCTAGATCATTTTCCACTGTCATTAAAATTCTATAATGCCTTTAGAGTTTTTTTATCCTCATCAATTTTATCTTTGAGGCAAATTCTTCAACAATAGCATAGGTTTCCTTTCCCTTCTGCAAAAGCTTTTTAGTTCTAGGAGTAAATCCCGTGAGGTGCCACGCAGGTGAGTCTTCAATCATCCTAGGTAATTTACAGCAATTCATACAGTCAGTTCAAGGTTTTCTTTAAAGAAAATGACTGAATGAATCCAAGCATTTGTTCTGTTTAGCCATAAAATCAAGTCACCTTGTGTTAGATGTGACCAACATTTGCAGCCATGCAAGCCTGATGTACAAAGCGAGGGAACAACGCTTTGGGAATATTTCTCCACTCTCAAGAACTTACAAGCTCATGCAGTGTTTGTTATTAGAGCAGAAGGTATATAGGGTAAACTACATTGCAGCAAATCCCAGTCATGCTCCATAAACGACATATCAGGAGAAATGGCTGCCAGTGGCTACTATGTGTGAATTCTGCCCCCACAACATTCGTCACATGGGGACGAACATTGTCCTGCTGAATAATGACTACAGATCCATCATCAAGTGCCTGGCTGAGTGGCACGAGTGATCATACTTCTCCACCACTGTTTAGAGGCATGATTTACTAGGGAATATACAGTGGTGGTTTCCCCTTGACTTCCACCAGTCTATGTATGGTTTGGCTCCAACAGCTTTAGTTTACACATATGTACTCTGCAATCAACAATGAGAGAGGTTATAAGGGCGCCTCTTACCCCCCAGAGGACCATGTCAAAGAGTCGCATCATTTAACTAACCATCTCCCACTGACCACCTCAACAGATCCATAGCATGCAGAGAAGGCTCCATGTGCTGCTTCCAAATTGAATCTGACACCGAACTCCAGGCAGGTTGCCATGAATAACCTCAAACTGTCTAATGACATGCAGTGAAACCTCCCCCATACCACTGCACACCTGCTGCTGTATGGAACTTGCAAAATGCAGCCAGCTGCATAACATTGACCCTGTGGATAGACATGACTACCAACACCACATAACATGAACAGGAAGAGTGGCTCCGACTACAAATATTGAAAGCTACTTGCTTCAGCTACTTTTTTGGGAGGTTGACTGCACCCTATCAATGTTACAGTCGCTGATGACATCTGACAGTTATCTTGATTCATCCATGAACAATACCGTTCTTTACAGTGAAGCACAGGTGTTGCCTTTCCAATGAACTTGAACCATGCAATGCCACGCTGGCCACACATCTGAATACCTGAGACTGCCTGTCTCCATCTTACAGCCGGCTGCCTGCCAACAACACTGCACCAAATTTGAACTCTGTAGCTCCAGCGACAATTCTCAGCAATCTCTGTAAACACTGCACATGTAAACCAAACAGCACATCCACGAAACTCCCTCACAGCCTACACAATATGAGCAAATGGTTTAATCATTGTTTGTCATACAAGCAGAGACAATCGATGTCATACAAGCAGAGACCAGGGATGTCATACAAGCAGTGACCAGAGATATCATACAAGCAGAGACAATCGATGTCATACAAGCAGTGACCAGAGATATCATACAAGCAGAGACAATCGATGTCATACAAGCAGAGACCAGGGATGTCATACAAGCAGTGACCAGAGATATCATACAAGCAGAGACAATCGATGTCATACAAGCAGAGACCAAGGATGTCATACAAGCAGTGACCAGGGATGTCATACAAGCAGAGACCAGGGATGTCATACAAGCAGAGACCAGGGATGTCATACAAGCAGTGACCAGGGATGTCATACAAGCAGTGACCAGGGATGTCATACAAGCAGTGACCAGGGATGTCATACAAGCAGTGACCAGGGATGTCATACAAGCAGTGACCAGGGATGTCATACAAGCAGAGACCAGGGATGTCATACAAGCAGAGACCAGGGATGTCATACAAGCAGAGACCAGGGATGTCATACAAGCAGAGACCAGGGATGTCATACAAGCAGAGACCAGGGATGTCATACAAGCAGAGATCAGGGATGTCATACAAGCAGAGACCAGGGATGTCATACAAGCAGAGACAATCGATGTCATACAAGCAGTGACCAGGGATGTCATACAAGCAGTGACCAGGGATGTCATACAAGCAAAGACCAGGGATGTCATACAAGCAGAGACCAGGGATGTCATACAAGCAGAGACCAGGGATGTCATACAAGCAGTGACCAGGGATGTCATACAAGCAGAGACCAGGGATGTCATACAAGCAGTGACCAGGGATGTCATACAAGCAGAGACCAGGGATGTCATACAAGCAGAGACCAGGGATGTCATACAAGCAGAGACAATCGATGTCATACAAGCAGAGACCAGGGATGTCATACAAGCAGTGACCAGGGATGTCATACAAGCAGTGACCAGGGATGTCATACAAGCAGTGACCAGGGATGTCATACAAGCAGTGACCAGGGATGTCATACAAGCAGTGACCAGGGATGTCATACAAGCAGTGACCAGGGATGTCATACAAGCAGAGACCAGGAATGTCATACAAGCAGTGACCAGGGATGTCATACAAGCAGTGACCAGGGATGTCATACAAGCAGTGACCAGGGATGTCATACAAGCAGTGACCAGGGATGTCATACAAGCAGAGACCAGGAATGTCATACAAGCAGAGACAATCGATGTCATACAAGCAGAGACCAGGGATGTCATACAAGCAGTGACCAGAGATATCATACAAGCAGTGACGAGGGATGTTATACAAGCAGTGACCAGGGATGTCATACAAGCAGTGACCAGGGATGTCATACAAGCAGTGACCAGGGATGTCATACAAGCAGTGACCAGGGATGTCATACAAGCAGAGACCAGGAATGTCATACAAGCAGTGACCAGGGATGTCATACAAGCAGTGACCAGGGATGTCATACAAGCAGTGACCAGGGATGTCATACAAGCAGTGACCAGGGATGTCATACAAGCAGAGACCAGGAATGTCATACAAGCAGAGACAATCGATGTCATACAAGCAGAGACCAGGGATGTCATACAAGCAGTGACCAGAGATATCATACAAGCAGTGACGAGGGATGTTATACAAGCAGTGACCAGGGATGTCATACAAGCAGTGACCAGGGATGTCATACAAGCAGAGACTACGGATGTCATCCAAGCAGTGACCATGGAGGCAACATTCTGTGTGACCAGATGAGTTGGTCGCCTTAAGCACATCTGGGCAGGACTCTGTGTGTTTTGAAAGTATATCCACCACATTCTTACAGTGGAACACTTGTACAACAAACTTTCTGGCAAACTGCTTTTACTGTGTATGATAAGCATGGATATGTATTGAACTTAAAATTGCACATATCGCAGCATAGCTGTAAACTAAACATTCCAACCACCTTTTGAGTTTGGCCGCAGAAGATATATACATTTGCATATGTATTCTAGGTGTCTGATGCATGTGTGCTAGTTATAGTTCCACTTGGAGAATTTGTTGCTGGATCTTAAGGGAGTGATCATATTCGTTACCTGTGGAGGTGGCCCCCGTGAACGATATGATGCCTCCGCCCTGCATGGGATGTGATTCGCTGCAGGAGGAGTCTGGCCGCTCTGTCCATTCTTGTTCTGGAGATTCAGAATCAACAGACATGTACTAATTGGTTAACTGGAATCTGCTGGTATGGGGTATGCGTGAGCGTAAGTGTGTGTCACGGTGCTGTAATATATACGTGTGAGTGTATGCTTGTATCATGGGGATGCAATGTGCAGCTCTGTCATGAGGCAACAATGTGCAGCTGTATGTTATAAGACTGGAACCATACAACTATAGTCTATAGTTGTGTATTATGATGGTAGTTTCTGTTCCAACCTGCTTTAGGATCTTATTAAAAGACGTCATTTTTTGTCCCCTGGGGTTCTGAGATCCACTATATTTTGCAACACTGAGCACAACAGTTTACACACATGATTTCCAGAAACAGGGATCAGATCAGTGCATCCAGACCCATCCTTTAGACAAAAACCATTAGGGCAGTGCTTAAAAAACCTTTTTCCGGTTGCATCCCATTGTTAAAACGAGGCAAAATGACCTGTGACATGATACATTAAAAATAGGCTTTTTAATCAGTTACATACAAACATTAAAAGTAGATGCCCAAATGTTCTACTTCTGAGAAAAATATGATGTTCTGAGGAAAGATTAAGACTGGCAACTCAGAACTTTGCACCGCTGCAGTAGACATTCCAGACCTGTCCAGTTGGCATTCTGGTGACAATCAAGCTTATGCATGAGTGCAGATCATATGTTGGCACATCAACCTTCACAGAGGCATGTGGCCTGACCTATAAACACTGGCAGGGAGACGGGATAGCACAACTGGAGATGGTGCCTGATTCTTATGTCCTAAATCTTGCATGAAAGATAAGTTATTTGGAGTGACGGTCTAAGCACTCACCTGAGACCAAGTAAAAGCGAGCCTTGAACCCAGCATGGTAGCAGCATTCTGCTGAACGTGTGCCTGTGGACAGAACCAGGACCAGTGTGCTGGAGTGGGAGACTATGACTGGACGAGTGTAGCGCTCTAGGGTTGTGTGCGGCGAGTTGTCTGAGAATCCATCGTAAACCTGAGCATGCGAATACAAATGTACATCTGACTTAACAAGTACATCTGTTCAAACAATCATGCACATCTCTTTATACAATCATGTATATATGTTTATACAACCATGCACATCTGTTTATACAACCATGCACATCTGTTTATACAATCATGCACATCTGTTTATACAATCATGTACATCTGTTTACACAATCATGTACATCTGTTTACACAACCATGTACATCTGTTTATACAACCATGTACATATGTTTATACAATCATGTACATCTGTTTATACAATCATGTACATCTGTTTATACAATCATGTACATCTGTTTATACAATCATGTACATCTGTTTACACAACAATGTACATCTGTTTACACAATCATGCACATCTGTTTATACAATCATGCACATCTTTTTATACAATCATGCACATCTGTTTACACAATCAAGTACATCCGTTGCGCGCACAAACATACAAACAAGAACACCTGTTTGAACTAACCTACACCTGTTTATATAATCTTACATTTCTTTAAATAAAATTTTTTTTAACTTGTGTATCTATTACAGGACGTTGCAGAACCAACTGGCTGCTGTGTGGTTTCTCTAGGAAAATTTACGTCCAGTAGTTTGCCATTGCTAACTGGACGGTCGGCACCCTGATACCACTGTCGAAACCAACGCAAAGCACATGGCCTGCAGCTGGGATTGAACCCGGCACCCCAGCATTGCGAAGCGTTCACATCGACTAAGCCACAGAGCCGACAGACACATCACTGCTCAAGTAAAAACCAGAATGTAAGAATGCGAGGGAAAATAGCATGAGTGGATGGTGGGGTTAGTGGACGAGTGGATGGTGGGATAGATGAGTGGGTAGATTAATGGATAGGATAAAGGATGGCTATATTCGTGGATGAGTGGAATTGTAGATAGATGGATCGATGGGCCTTTATGTGTGCTTATTTACGAAGTCATGTGAAAACAAGGGTCTCGCGACACGATGCTTCTCTCTTACTGTCAGCTATCAAATAGAGACAGTGATTGTTATTAAAAGTAATCATTCAAGCCCAAAGCTGGTAGAAACTAGAATGTAAGGGGGGGGGGGCATGGAAGGAGAGATGGGAAAACGACATGAGTGGATGGTGATCATTCATGGGGACTGCGTGGCACGGTGACATGAAGTTTTAGTGAGACCTGGCCAGCAGCTACCCAGGGCGTGACCGCTACTCTCGGGTGGGTTGTGTCAACAATGTTGGGGTTTCCAATATAACCTTACGTATGAACGGCGTTTCTGGGATTTATAGATGGGGGGGGGGGCGCGGGAGGGGGGGGGGGGCTTCTGTCCGAATAGCGACTCTCTGGGTCACTGGATGTTAATCGCTCATTATGCGGTCCAAGTGAGGTTCAACAGTGATCATACCGGAGAA